ATATATATATATATATATATATATATATATATATATATATATATATATATATATATATATATATATGTCGTACCTAGTAGCCAGAACGCACTTCTATGCCTACTATGCAAGGCCCGATTTGCCTAATAAGCCAAGTTTTCATGAATTAATTGTTTTTCGACTACCTAACCTACCTAACCTAACCTAACCTAACTTTTTCGGCTACCTAACCTAACCTAACCTATAGAGATAGGTTAGGTTAGGTTAGGTAGGGTTGGTTAGGTTCGGTCATATATCTACGTTAATTTTAACTACAATAAAAAAAAATTGGCCTCATACGTAATGAAATGGGTAGCTTAATCATTTCATAAGAAAAAAATTAGAGAAAATATATTAATTCAGGAAAACTTGGCTTATTAGGCAAATCGGACCTTGCATAGAAGGCCGAGAAGTGCGTTCTGGCTACTAGGTACGACATATATATATATATATATATATATATATATATATATATATATATATATATATATATATATATATATATATATATATATATATATATATATTATATATATATATATCTATATATATATATATATATATATATATATATATATGTCGTACCTAGTAGCCAGAACGCACTTCTCGGCCTTCTATGCAAGGTCCGATTTGCCTAATAAGCCAAGTTTTCCTGAATTAATATATTTTCTCTATTTTTTTTCTTATGAAATGATTAAGCTACCCATTTCATTACGTATGAGGTCAATTTTTTTTTATTGGAGTTAAAATTAACGTAGATATATGACCGAACCTAACCAACCCTACCTAACCTAACCTAACCTATCTCTATAGGTTAGGTTAGGTTAGGTAGCCGAAAAAGTTAGGTTAGGTTAGGTTAGGTAGGTTAGGTAGTCGAAAAACAATTAATTCATGAAAACTTGGCTTATTAGGCAAATCGGGCCTTGCATAGTAGGCATAGAAGTGCGTTCTGGCTACTAGGTACGACATATATATATATATATATATATATATATATATATATATATATATATATATATATATATATATATATATATATATATATATATATATATATATATATATATATATATATATATACATATGTATAAAAAAATTTGTGAGGGTACCACCTCTGGTGCCAATGTGGGGACCCATAGCCTCGGAGAAGAAAATAAAAAGTATTCAGAGGAGACCTTGTGGTTTCTCACTGAACACTAATATTATCTTCTCCTACCACCCCCATTCTTTTGTATGTACACATATATTTACTTTATTTGAACTTTGTTACAAAAAAGGAGTTACATATGGGTTACAAAGATGGTTGTCATAGGTTGTCGAGTTCCTCCAGCTCCTCAGATGGCGGGCAGGAACCCTGGATGCAGTGCGCATTTCCCCTCTGTATCGCCACACTGAGGCCCTGGAAAAGAAAGCTTGCAGCTCTCGGGTCCCTTGTTGTTTCAATGAGCCTAGAACCCAGTTCCTTCAAAAAACTATACATATATACATATGTATATATATATATATATATATATATATATATATATATATATATATATATATATATATATATATATATATATATATATATATGTCGTACCTAGTAGCCAGAACTCACTTCTCAGCCTACTATGCAAGGCCCGATTTGCCTAATAATCCAAGTTTTCATGAATTAATTGTTTTTCGACAACCTAACCTACCTAACCTAACCTAACCTAACTTTTTCGGCTACCTAACCTAACCTAACCTATAAAGATAGGTTAGGTTAGGTTAGGTAGGGTTGGTTAAGTTCGGTCATATATCTACGTTAATTTTAACTCAAATAAAAAAAAATTGACCTCATACGTAATGAAATGGGTAGCTTTATCATTTTATAAGAAAAAAAAATAGAAAAAATATATTAATTCAGGAAAACTTGGCTTATTAGGCAAATCGGGCCTTGCATAGTAGGCCGAGAAGTGAGTTCTGGCTACTATGTACGACATATATATATATATATATATATATATATATGTCGTACCTAGTAGCCAGAACTCACTTCTCGGCCTACTATGCAAGGCCCGATTTGCCTAATAAGCCAAGTTTTCCTGAATTAATATATTTTTTCTATTTTTTTTCTTATAAAATGATAAAGCTACCCATTTCATTACGTATGAGGTCAATTTTTTTTTATTTGAGTTAAAATTAACGTAGATATATGACCGAACTTAACCAACCCTACCTAACCTAACCTAACCTATCTTTATAGGTTAGGTTAGGTTAGGTAGCCGAAAAAGTTAGGTTAGGTTAGGTTAGGTAGGTTAGGTTGTCGAAAAACAATTAATTCATGAAAACTTGGATTATTAGGCAAATCGGGCCTTGCATAGTAGGCTGAGAAGTGAGTTCTGGCTACTAGGTACGAAATATATATATATATATATATATATATATATATATATATATATATATATATATATATATATATATATATATATATATATATATATATATATATATATATATATATATATATATATATATATATATATATATATATATATATATATATATATATATAGTATATATTAGTATATATTAGTATATATATATATATATATATATATATATATATATATATATATATATATATATTAGTATATTTTGGTAGCAGCCTTTTCTGTAGACATATATTATTAAATATGACCGAAAAAGTCACTTACGAGATGGAGAAGGATGGAAAGCTGGCTTTTCTAGATGTAACAGTCACGGAAAGGAGCGGAGGTTTCCACACTGCAGTCTACACTAAGGAAACAAACATAGGAATGTGCCTCAATGCCAACAATGACTGCCCAGACAGGTACAAGAGGAGTGTTGTTAACGTTTATGTCGACCGCGCTCTCAGCCACAGCTCAAGATGGAAGCAAGTCGATGAAGAACTCTGTAGGGTAACGCAGGTCCTAGTCAACAACGGCTTCTCCAATGGTTTCGTTGAAGACATCATAAGAAGGAAGGTGAAACGCCATGCAACCTCTGAAGAGACAACTAACACAACACCTGTACCCCCTATTAGACTATTTTACAGGAACTTCTTTTCCACAGCTCATAAAACGGAGGAAAGGGCCCTGAAAGATATTGTTAATAGAAACGTTATTCCAACAAACAAAAATCAGAAGATACAATTGACGATTTACTATAAAACCAAGAAAACTGCCAACCTACTCATGAGAAACTCTCCAGACACAAAGCAGAACGCTTTGACAGAGACCAATGTCGTTTATGCCTTCAAGTGCCCACTTGGGGACTGTAAGCCTCAAAGAACTCAGTATATAGGCAAGACAACAACATCTCTTTCCAGGCGATTAACGATGCATACGTAACAGGGCTCCATTAAGGAACATATAATCTCTTCCCACAACCAGACCATCACCAGAGAAGTCTTAACAAAAAACACGGAAATCATCGTTAGATACAGCGATAGCAGGCAGCTTGATATCTGCGAGGCACTACACATTAAGAAGTCAACACCAGCAATCAACAGCCAATTAATGCACAACTATATTCTATCCACTTCAAGACTCCGCACCAATATAGAAGCATCAAGAAATATGGGTCAATAGGCCCTTTGCGTTTACTTCTATTCTTCCCCTTTAACTTTATCCAATATTACCCAATATTTCGTGTTTTATCTTGTGTTGAAAGTTTGTTTTTACCTCATCCAAAACTGTTGTAACATATCCCCTAACCCAAATGCAGGTATATAAAATGAAAAGCCGTTTGAATTATAACATAGTAAGAAATCTGTTTTAGTGTTTGCAGGTTATAGTTATGTGTGTGTAAACTAAAGTCTTTGAAAATGTAATAAGTTATTACGAAACGCGTTCAAGTGTCGCGTCAGACTAGAAATAAAAATGAATTTTGGAGAACTGATTTTCAATTACCATCGACAGTGAAAAGAACCATAAGAAATATTGAGAAAATTCGTGTTAGAATTATTAATCTTACTTTTTCGGTTATATTAATAATATATATATATATATATATATATATATATATATATATATATATATATATATATATATATATATATATATATATATATATATATATATATATATATATATATGTGTGTGTGTGTGTGTGTGTGTGTGTGTGTGTGTGTGTGTGTGTTTACTAGTTGTGTTTTTACGGTGGTTGAGCTTTGCTCTTTCGGCCCGCCTCTCAACTGTCAATCAACTGTTTACTAACTACTTTTTTTTTTTTTCCACACCACACACACACAAACACACCCCAGGAAGCAGCCCGTGACAGCTGACTAACTCCCAGGTACCTATTTACTGCTAGGTAACAGGGGCATTCAGGGTGAAAGAAACTTTGCCCATTTGTTTCTGCCTCGTGCGGGAATCGAACCCGCGCCACAGAATTACGAATCCTGCGCGCTATCCACCAGGCTACGAGGCCCCTAGTGTGTGTGTGTGTGTGTGTGTGTGTGTGTGTGTGTGTGTGTGTGTGTGTGTGTGTGTGTGTGTGTGTGTGTAACGATATATATAAAGATATTATTAAGGTATTTTCGCAGAAAAGATTATTAGGGAACATTAAATAGGGAACATCCACAGCCCTAGTGGATTATTTTTTACATTGATATATATCAAGTTAATGTGATGTCGATATTTTTGTGAAGTTGGGGCGTAAGGTGTAGGACCACCTTGCCCATCCATTAGAGTGCTTGCGGGTCATACGTAAACACTTCGACTTGCTTCAGTAGGGGCCTCCAGACTTCGTATGATTTTAGTTGAAATCTGGTTGTATGACTTGACTAGTCCATGATGGTACAGTAGTCGAGTATGCAGCCGGCACTTGCCTTGGTCGGAGGTTCGTGTCACCTCACAGCCCTAGTGGACTTTGTCAAATCAATTTACATATATATCCAAAAACGAAAGGGATTATTTGAATCATTGGTCGAAACTGTACATTTCAACACTAGGTTCAAGTGCGAAGCTCGTCAACAGCAATGTTTATTTTGGCAGGTTGGACGAAGCTTCACTCCGCCGCCATCGACGGTAACAACACCTGGGTGGAGGAGCTCATCTCTGAGGGAGCAAACATCAGCGCAGTCACCGATAGTGGCGAGACGCCTCTCTACTACGCTCGCAAGGAAGGTCACAGGCAGGTGGTGGAGACGCTGCTCAAGTGGAACGCTGACGGTAAGAGCCTCACTGACGGTGTTATGGGTGTCTTTCCGGGTAAATAATGTCAGTTTACTTTACTTTATTTATAATTCACGCAATCTTGCGGCGCTAGTGGAAAAGGTTAAAAGAGGCACCTAATGGGCTCGGGGATTGAACCCTAAAATTCCAATTCGCCGCAAATATTCGCCGCAAATACACATATAAGATCAAGGACCTGATTAACCAGGTCCTTGATCTGCAGTGTGGGTAATATCGGCAGATAATAATCGTACTGCGTTGATCTCTTACCTGGTCATACCTCACTGCAACACCAGGAACATACTCAATGTGCGCACACTTGGCCTACACACTCACCAGACACCAGTGTGGCCGCACAGTACTCAAAACAATTTGTTGTCCTTGCCAGTGCGAAATATCTCCTCCACTGTACAATCTTCTATAAGACTGGCGCGACCGGCTTGCCCTCCTATCATGAGTGTCGCTCTCAACTACTTTGTTCCTCTGATACTTAGACAAGTTGGAGCAATAGAGTCTCACCGCTCACTGGCACACAAGTCACAGAACCAATACTCGGTATTATAAGTAAAAAAAGTGTTAAGTGAACAAAAATAGTCAAATACCACTTAGTAGCCTCGTGCACACATACATTGTAGCCTAGTGCACGCGCACATTGTAGCCACGTGCACACGTACATTGTAACTTCGTGTACACGTATATTGTAACCTCGTGCACACGTACATTGTAGCCTAGTGCACACGTACATTGTAACCTAGTGCACACGTACATTGTAACCTAGTGCACACGTATATTCTAGCCTAGTGCACACGTACATTGTAACCTAGTGCACACGTATATTCTAGCCTAGTGCACACGTACATTGTAGCCTAGTGAGCACGTACATTGTAACCTAGTGCACACGTACATTGTAACCTAGTGCACAAGTACATTGTAACCTCGTGTACACGTACATAGTAGCCTAGTGCACACGTACATTGTAACCTCGTACACACGTACATTTTAGCCTTGTGCACACGTACATTGTAGCCTTGTGCACACGTACATTGTAACCTCGTGCACACAGACATTGTAGCCTCGTGCACACGTATATTGTAACCTCGTGTACACGTACATTGTAGCCTAGTGCACACGTACATTGTAACCTCGTGCACACGTACATTGTAGCCTAGTGCACACGTACATTGTAGCCTCGTGCACACGTACATTGTAGCCTAGTGCACACGTACATTGTAACCTAGTGCACACGTCCATTGTAGCCTCGTGCACACGTACATTGTAACCTCGTGCATACGTACATTGTAGCCTAGTGCACAAGTACATTGTAACCTCGTGCACACGTACATTGTAACCTCGTGCACACGTACATTGTAGCCTCGTGCACACGTACATTGTAGCCTCGTGCACACGTACATTGTAACCTCGTGCACACGTACATTGTAGCCTCGTGCACACGTACATTGTAGCCTCGTGCACACGTACATTGTGACCTCGTGCACACGTACATTGTGACCTCGTGCACACGTACATTGTAACCTCGTGCACACGTACATTGTAACCTCGTGTACACGTACATTATAGCCTAGTGCACACGTACATTGTAACCTCGTGCACACATACATTGTAGCCTAGTGCACACGTACATTGTAGCCTCGTGCACACGTACATTGTAACCTCGTGCACACGTACATTGTAGCCTAGTGCACACGGTTATTGTAGCCTCGTGCACACGTACATTGTAACTTCGTGCACACGTACATTGTAACCTCGTGCACACGTACATTGTAACCTCGTGCACACGCACATTGTAACCTCGTGCACACGTACATTGTAGCCTCGTGCACACGTACATTGTAACCTCGTGCACACGTACATTGTAGCCTTGTGCACACGTATATTGTAACCTCGTGCACACGTACATTGTAGCCTAGTGCACACGTACATTGTAACCTAGTGCACACGTACATTGCAACCTAGTGCACACGTACATTGTAGCCTAGTGCACACGTATATTGTAACCTCGTGCACACGTACATTGTAGCCTAGTGCACACGTACATTGTAACCTAGTGCACACGTACATTGTAACCTAGTGCACACGTACATTGTAGCCTTGTGCACACGTATATTGTAACCTCGTGCACACGTACATTGTAGCCTAGTGCACACGTACATTGTAACCTAGTGCACACGTACATTGTAACCTAGTGCACACGTACATTGTAGCCTAGTGCACAGGGGTACTGTAGCCTCGTGCACACGTACATTGTAGCCTTGTGCACACGTACATTGTAGCCTCGTGCACACGTACATTGTAGCCTCGTGCACACGTACATTGTAACCTCGTGCACACGTACATTGTAACCTCGTGCACACACACACTGTAGCTTAGTGCACACATACACTGTAGCTTAGTGCACACATACATTGTAGCCTAGTGCACACTGGTACTGTAGCCTCGTGCACACGTACATTGTAGCCTTGTGCACACGTACATTGTAACCTCGTGCACACAGACATTGTAGCCTTGTGCACACGTATATTGTAACCTCGTGCACACGTACATTGTAGCCTAGTGCACACGTACATTGTAACCTCGTGCACACGTACATTGTAGCCTTGTGCACACGTATATTGTAACCTCGTGCACACGTACATTGTAGCCTAGTGCACACGTACATTGTAACCTAGTGCACACGTACATTGTAACCTAGTGCACACGTACATTGTAACCTCGTACACACGTACATTTTAGCCTTGTGCACACGTACATTGTAGCCTTGTGCACACGTACATTGTAGCCTAGTGAGCACGTACATTGTAACCTAGTGCACACGTACATTGTAACCTAGTGCACAAGTACATTGTAACCTCGTGTACACGTACATAGTAGCCTAGTGCACACGTACATTGTAACCTCGTACACACGTACATTTTAGCCTTGTGCACACGTACATTGTAGCCTTGTGCACACGTACATTGTAACCTCGTGCACACAGACATTGTAGCCTCGTGCACACGTATATTGTAACCTCGTGTACACGTACATTGTAGCCTAGTGCACACGTACATTGTAACCTCGTGCACACGTACATTGTAGCCTAGTGCACACGTACATTGTAGCCTCGTGCACACGTACATTGTAGCCTAGTGCACACGTACATTGTAACCTAGTGCACACGTCCATTGTGGCCTCGTGCACACGTACATTGTAACCTCGTGCATACGTACATTGTAGCCTAGTGCACAAGTACATTGTAACCTCGTGCACACGTACATTGTAACCTCGTGCACACGTACATTGTAGCCTCGTGCACACGTACATTGTAGCCTCGTGCACACGTACATTGTAACCTCGTGCACACGTACATTGTAGCCTCGTGCACACGTACATTGTAGCCTCGTGCACACGTACATTGTGACCTCGTGCACACGTACATTGTGACCTCGTGCACACGTACATTGTAACCTCGTGCACACGTACATTGTAACCTCGTGTACACGTACATTATAGCCTAGTGCACACGTACATTGTAACCTCGTGCACACATACATTGTAGCCTAGTGCACACGTACATTGTAGCCTCGTGCACACGTACATTGTAACCTCGTGCACACGTACATTGTAGCCTAGTGCACACGGTTATTGTAGCCTCGTGCACACGTACATTGTAACTTCGTGCACACGTACATTGTAACCTCGTGCACACGTACATTGTAACCTCGTGCACACGCACATTGTAACCTCGTGCACACGTACATTGTAGCCTCGTGCACACGTACATTGTAACCTAGTGCACAGGGGTACTGTAGCCTCGTGCACACGTACATTGTAGCCTTGTGCACACGTACATTGTAGCCTCGTGCACACGTACATTGTAGCCTCGTGCACACGTACATTGTAACCTCGTGCACACGTACATTGTAACCTCGTGCACACACACACTGTAGCTTAGTGCACACATACACTGTAGCTTAGTGCACACATACATTGTAGCCTAGTGCACAGGGGTACTGTAGCCTCGTGCACACGTACATTGTAGCCTTGTGCACACGTACATTGTAACCTCGTGCACACAGACATTGTAGCCTCGTGCACACGTACATTGTAGCCTCGTGCACACGTACATTGTAACCTCGAGCACACAGACACTGTAGCTTAGTGCACACAGACACTGTAGCTTAGTGCACAAATACATTGTAGCCTAGTGCACAGGGGTACTGTAGCCTCGTGCACACGTACATTGTAGCCTTGTGCACACGTACATTGTAACCTCGTGCACACAGACATTGTAGCCTCGTGCACACGTACAGTGTAGTCTCGTGAACACATATATTGTAGCCTTGTGCACACAGACATTGTATTCTCGTGCACATGGATACTGTAGCCTCATGCACACATACATTGTAGTCTCGTGAACACATACATTGTAGCCTTGTGCACACAGACATTGCATTCTCGTGCACACAGATGCTGTAGCCTCGTGCACACAGATACTGTAGCCTCGTGCACACAGATACTGTAGCCTCGTGCACACAGATACTGTAGCCTCGTGCACACAGATGCTGTAGCCTCGTGCACACAGATGCTGTAGCCTCGTGCACACATATACTGTAGCCTCGTGCACACGGATACTGTACCCTCGTGCACACAGATACTGTAGCCTCGTGCACACAGATACTGTAGCCTCGTGCACACAGATACTGTAGCCTCGTGCACACAGATACTGTAGCCTCGTGCACACAGATGCTGTAGCCTCGTGCACACGGATACTGTACCCTCGTGCACACAGATACTGTAGCCTCGTGCACACAGATACTGTAGCCTCGTGCACACATATACTGTAGCCTCGTGCACACGGATACTGTACCCTCGTGCACACAGATACTGTAGCCTCGTGCACACAGATACTGTAGCCTCGTGCACACAGATACTGTAGCCTCGTGCACACAGATGCTGTACCCTCGTGCACACAGATACTGTACCCTCGTGCACACAGA